TACAAAGAAAAAAAAAGGTAAACCGATCCACCATACATGAATTATAAAAATGACCAACAAGTGACTAAGAAAACTGTAATCTTTAAAGGGGAGAGCGTTTACCCCAGTAAAGAGTGCATAGGTAAAAATCTAAAGTATCCTGACAACCAATTGTTAGTCAAGCAAAAGCAATTTGTTCCAAAACTAGAGGAAGAAAAATGTTGCAACATCCTAATGCTAATTTACGCCAGTTGATTGAAGATGAATAAAAAAGATAGTAACAAGGTGTAGAAAACATGATATACATGTTCCAAATATGCGTATGAAAAGACAAAAACATGTTATGGATACCGATACCAAACATGTTCAGTTTTTCCATTTTGCTTATGAACTTAAAAGTACCTTGCTTTAGGGCAAATGGCAATTGAAGATAATCAAAGGCCTCTAGAATGAGCTCAACATTCTCCAATAATATTTCCTCTGCATTAGGAAGTGTGGCTCTTAGAACTGATTGATATAAAAAATTGAAAATAATAGCAATAACATAGAATGTGCAACCATTTTGAGCTATTTTTCATATCAAGTAAATTTCATTTCTAAGAGCAAAAGTTACAAGCGTTGCATAAAAGTTCAATTATGAACAAAACACCTAAAACAAACAAATACTCCTAACCAGAACCAAAGAAACCGCAATGCTTAAATGAAAACCAATGCCAGTTCTTTTGTTAGCCATTGTTGCACTTCAACACTTCATAATTAAACTTCATTTAATAAAATTGAAAGAAAGAGGAAGAGGAAGGAAGAAAGAAACAAGAACTTCTTATTGGAAATAGAAAAGTCACAATGGAAAATCCTACCACATAATTAACATCATAACATCGATTAGAACAGTACAACAACAACACCTACCAACTCCGTCTTAACTCAAACTTCTACTATCTATCCAAAAATAAAAAAATAAAAACATGACCATCAACAAGATATCTCATTAATATAACACAATGGATATATCAAAGAAGTTGGGAGACCTTCCTTTTCTTTACTCTCTACTCATTTTGTCTCTCTCCGCTTTACAGTTGTTTCATGGATCTATTACTCTCCAAGAGGCACGAGATCATGTTTTGAGTAACTGTGCAATGACTATATACTTTGGCTTGAGAGAATTTCAAAGAATAGATTATTTGTACCATACCAAAAAATATTCAACCAATAGAGTGTTTGACTAAGATTCTTAGTTTCACTTGCACACAAAGAGAGGTGCATGACTCTAACAGCAAGGACAAGAGAAATGAGTAATGAGGGGTATTTTACTGGGAAATGGTGAGAACTCTAGATTTTGGTGAGGTAAAACTTCTTGAAAATATGTGCAATGTACTGGACTACATTTATAATAATGAGCAGGCATTTCTCTTCCAAGCTCCATCAATGATAGGATAGCTATACCTTGGTGATGTATATAAAGGGAAGAAAATGGATAGTCATCTAGACTCAGTCAAATCTCAATCAGTCACCTCTCCTTTTCTCAATTCATTAACTATCCCGTTAGGGATGGCCTAAAGATTTTTTTTTGGGAGGACCAATGGGTGAGAGATAAGCCTTTGTGTACCTTGTTCTCCCATCTTTACATTTTTTAGGTAAGTGTCCGCATCTTGTGGCCTCGTTTTGTCTTCTCCTAGTCATTCTTCTTCGATCTCTTTGGTTTTTGCCACCCTCTTCCAAATAGAGAGGCAATTGAGGTGGCAGATATCTTACTTATCCTTCTAGACCATTTTATCGTTCCAAGGAGGAGGGATGTTAGAGTGTGGTCTCCAAACGCTGGAAGGGGGCTCCCTTGTCATTCCTAATTTCACTTTTTATCTTCTCCATCTACACGATCAATTGATCCTAAGGCATTAGTCTTCTCCTTTTTATGGAAGGAAAAAAATCCTAAAAAGGTTTTTTGTGTACCAGGTTTTAGTGGAGAGAACCAATACCTTGGATCGTGTCCAAAAACATTCCTCCTTCATTTTGCTTCCGCGCTTGCAAGCTACCTTTGAAATCATTGATGGAGGTCGTTTGTGGTTAGAGAAGCTCGCAATAGAGATGAGCAATCTTTGTTGGAGGATGTGCTTTTGCACCAAGGGAAAAGTGTTGTGGCAAGCAAGCTTGTTTGCTATCTTGTGGGGTATTTCGCTAAAGCAGAATAGTAGGATTTTTTCAGATATGGAGACATGTAGAGAGGAGGTCTGGGAGTTCGTGAGGTTTGATGTTTTCACTTGGGCATCAGATGCTAGACTTTTTTGTAAATATGATATTGGTCTTGTTCTTTTGAATTTGAGTCCCTTTTGTAGTTATGTTGGACTCATTCTTTTTTTGGAGCTTGTTTTTTGTACACCTTCTTTGTTTTCGATAAAGTTCGATTTCTTATCTAAAAAATAATGTAGAAGTGAAACTCACAAAGGAGATCAACTCTAGAGAGAAGCGCTGCAGTATTGGGTAAGAGCAATTCAGACTTTCTAATGGAACAGGGGGATTCTGAGCAGACAATGCCGGAGTCACTTACTAAAGAGAAAGTGTGTAGTTGAAGCAACCGGATTGTCCTATGTAGAATTTCCTCTGTTTAATATTATTTATGACCAACCCTGATGAAAAATATTTCAGACAGAACTCCATTTGATTGGAGATAAGTGAAGCGGAGATAAGGAAGATGGTGGCTTCCGCATGGCGGGTTATACTTTGGATAAGTTCAATAGAAAAGCAGCGACCCATTTGTCCAAGGAGCGCATTCCAGATAGCCATGGATCATACATTCCAAGGATCATTTTATAAGAGCATAAGGAAGTATAGCATCAATTCGAGACGATGGCAGCTCCACCGCCGAAGCTACTTAACTAATATTAAGACAACCAAAAGCTAAAATTGTTCATACAGTAAAATAAGAAGAACGAACCGTTCCAAAACGTAATCTTCAGCTTCTCCTTCTGAATATCCTTGACATATCTGCCCAAATAACCCACAAGTAACTGTCCAACAAGTCTTTCAAACATTCTCACACTTTCCTCCCTAAAAATGCTGCCGGCATCAAGTAAACCCGCCTAAGTTCATCTGATATTTGCTATCTCTGATTCTCTCCCTGAATCTCACCGTCAATTACACTTAGTCTCTATCTCCCTCGGAAAATCACGCTCTCGCCGATTCATTCAATCACTCTCCGTCCTCGAAATCTCTCTCGACCTTTGTCTCAATCTCGCCGGCACCCTCTCTCTGCAATTTTGCCGCTACTTCCTCCTGTAAGTTTCTCCGGTGAGTTTTGTCCCTTTCGTGTCCAATGCAAAGGGCACAATTAGGGATGTAAAAATTCTTTTAAATTCTTATTTTATTTTATTTCAGATTTCTTTAAATAAAATAAATAAATAAATGTTTATGAGTTCATAAAAATGCTATGCCCTAAAATTAATTATGAATAATACGTTAATTTATTTATCTATTTATCTTAATAATTATCTCTAATAAATAAATTTAATAAAATTATATGAACTATTATATTATATCAACAATTTTTTCATACAAATACAAAATATTATATTTTATAAATTTTATATAATAATAATATATTGTTAACAAAAATAATAATATATATTTTTAATTAATAATTAATAATATATATTTCAAAAAATAAGAGTTTCCGAGCAAGTTCAAATCTCTTCCTTTTGTGTTGCCTTGAGAGCTCACAGACTCATTGACACAGTTGAACAAAACTCGTTTTCATATATGACCAATCACCTAATATTACATATGCTCATCAAACAGCGTTTTTTATCTTGATTCAGGGTTTTGCCCAAATTGTTCGGCAGATTCCCACGCAACATGCACCCGTTCACTAACTTGTTCTCAACTGTTTCCACCCCTTTTGAAAGGCGATACAAGCTACCGTTAGCTAGGAGCCTCTTTTCCTTCTGCCTACCTCCCGAGAAAACAACGTTCGACTTGCATGTTAGGCACATAGTATTTGAATTATTCTTCATGTTTATCTTCAACCTAATAGCATAACATTTAATTATAACCAATTTAAAATATTTAAATACATAAATATAAACGAACCTTTTAAAATTATTAAAGTATTTTAATATTTTAGATTAATCACAAAATTAAATTCATTCACGCATCTCATCTTGTCATCTCTTGTCATCTTGATCTCCATTGACATGGTCCATATGTTTTGACGTCATCCTGGGTCTCGAAATTTTGTCAGCCATCACAACTCGTTCGGTCATGCTATCGAGAACGGGCTCACGTGTTGCTCATCTCATCGGGACTTTCCAAACATCCATTCATTCAGATTCTATCGAGGCATTGGTCCTCTCGTGCCTATGTCGTGTTATTTACGGATACCGTGCCGAATAGCAGGTGTATGTAGCAACCTCCAACATGTGGGATAGGGAGCAATATCGACACACTAGTGCCACCCGATACTATCTTTGAAAACCTCATTTCAAAGGAAGTCATTTTATACCGTTGTTTTCTAATATTTATTTAATACCCAATTATTAACAATTGAATTAAGACTTTTTTTTTTTTTTTAATTTCTTATTTCAAATAAGATTGAATATATCCGTTGATTTTTATTTTTGGTCACTGCCACACCATTCTCGATTCTTATTTAAGTCTGTTGTTTTGATGAAATTCTACTTTATAGTAGTGTTTAAACGTATAGTAACAATGTATAAGGGTATTTTTGTAATTTTGCATCGTATAATTAAAGAAATGGAATGACCCTTCACTCTTCGGGTAAGATATTCTAACTGAGATATATTTTTTAAAATGTTTTACCTAATTAGGTTGTGTTCAGTTGTGAACTCTGTTCGGGTAAGGTATAGGTTGAGTTCGGTTGTGAACTCATAATGTGTCAATAAAACATGCTTCCCATTTCTTCCTTTCTTGGTTACAATTTTATTAATTAAAATATGTTATGTTATTTAATATATAATAAGACTATGCTTATAATTCAGCTCTCCTTAGTTCTATACGCATCTCAGCCATCTATGGCGAATAAGCCTTTGGTTCTTGCCTTCTTCATCTTCCTTCCTCTTTGCCTTTCACTTCCATTGCCCGAACTGCCCGAACTGCCCGAACGGCCCGAACTGCCCCAAGTTTCTCCCTTTGCATTTCTCAATGACCTCCATGGGTGCAAGAAAGGTGACAATGTCAAAGGCATATCCAAGCTCAAGAACTTCTTCCACTATTACGGTTATTTAAACCATGGAACGAACATTACTAGTTATACGAACGACGTCAATGATGCCTTTGACGATCACCTCGAATCTGCCATCAAAACCTACCAACAGTATTTCCATCTCAACCCTACTGGAACCTTGAATCCCGAGACGATATCCCAACTTGCAACTCCTCGGTGCGGTGTTCCAGATATTGTTAATGAAACTACAAGTTGATTGTTGTTTAAAGAAGATGATGATGATGATGATCGTGTCCATCTCTATCACCTTCCTCATGTCGTGTCTCATTACGCTTTCTTCCCTGGAAAGCGTAGGTGGCCATCTTCCAAATATCGCCTCACTTACGCATTTCTTCCTAGTACTCGTAAAGATGCCAAAGCACTTGTGACTCGAGCGTTCACTATATGGGCTCGATACACTCATTTCAAATTTTCTTTGACTACAAACTACAAAAGAGCTAACTTGAAGATTGGGTTCTATAAAGGCAACCATGGAGATGGGTATCCATTTGATGGGCCCGGTGGGACATTGGCTCATGCTTTTGCACCAACTGATGGGAGGTTTCATTATGATTCAACTGAAAAATGGGCTGTTGGGGCTGTGAAAGGGCGATATGACTTACAAACGGTGGCTTTGCATGAAATTGGACACCTTCTTGGGCTCGGACATAGCACGGTTAAAAACGCTATAATGTATCCTTATATCAAGTCCGGGACGACCAAGGGCTTGAATGCCGATGATATTAAAGGAATCAAGGTACTATACAAGAAACGCTAAGCAAAGATCTCCACAAATGGTATGATATTATTCATTTTGAATATAAGCTCTTGTGTCTTTTCCAAAAGATTTCATACCAATTAAAATATATTCTTTCACTTATAAACACAGAATCATTCTCTAAATTAGCCAATGTGGGACATCCGCATCTATAATATATTGTATCTTGGTATTATCTTAAACATTCTGGGTTGTTTTTCGTCATTTATGTAAACGTGTCTACATTGGAATAAGTATTCAAATGTAAGATTAGGACATTAAATTTTATCGTTATATATTTCCATATTTTCATGGATTCGTTAATTTATATGTTTTTATTGTATTGCCAAATATAAAATAAATAATAAGAAATTAAAAATAAAATAAAATATATTTATGTTATTTGAAATTTGAATAAATAACTAATTTAAAATTAACACCGTTCCTCTTATTTGAATAAATTGAAAATAAAACAACAATTGTTTTCTGTACACTGAATGTTATTAATTTAAAATCTTTAAATTTTAATATTTTAATTTAAATCAAAGATTATCCGTTAAAATATTAATTTTCTATAATTATAATTAATTGCTTGTAATTTGATTTCGAATACAAGTAATTGATTCAAATTAAAGTTATCAATTTATTATCAATAAAAATTAATCAATATTCTATTGTAATTATTGTAGAAATCTTGTATGAATTATTTTAACTATTTTATTAATAAATTATTATAATGACATAATATTTATATATTTATCTCATTTAATATAATTTACTACACTTTGATTTTTGAAATATAAGTTGCATTAAAATACTTATAATTAATTTTTTTTATTAAAATCATAATAATTATTATTTTTTTTAATAATCTGATCTAATAAAAATATAATAGTTAATTATTTAAAATCAATTAGGGAAATAATTTTTTTGAAAATACAGTGAGGTCACATAGTCTTGTTGATCTCTAGAGATAATCGAGTGAAAAGGGATATCATAAAAGAGCGAAAAGGTGGGAAGAAAAACAGTGAGGTCACCGAGTTTTGTTGATTTCAAGAGAGTTATTAATGAGTTTGGTGGAAGTTTGATCCTTCCCAATAATGGGTTTAAACTAAAACTAAGAATCTAATACTACAGAAATGGAACCAGAGGGGTTTCAAGCATATCCCAAATATAAATGTGACAGGCAGTGAAGCAGAACTGCTTTGATCAACCAGTGGGTCCAGGAATCGGGAAAAAGACGAACTCATGATGCCTTTTTGATCTCCTTTGATTGTAAGTTCCTATCTCTCATTGGTTCTTTGTTCAACTTTTGATTTAGTGACTACCTTTTTACTTTCATTCGCTTTAGTTTAGTATGAACTTGACTTGAATACCCATTTGAATTTCTTTGGTTCTTATTCTCTTTGATTTTTCCGTTCGGTTTGATTCTCGTTGGGTCCTTTTTTTCAGTTCGTATCTGTTTCTGGGTCAGTGGGTTGAGTTTCAATCGGCATTGTGCATTGATTTTTTTGGTTTTTTTGTTTTGGGTATCTGCATTGGATCTTCTTAGTGATAAACAATGTGTTTGTAGATGTGGAGTTAAGAGCAGGGGATGGCGTCGTATATGGAGTTAGAGAGCGAGCAGCTAGTGGCTGATCCAATACCATTTGCCAGAAGGTTTGTTTTGTGCAATGGTTTCTTTTTGGCTTCATTATGCTTAACTTTACCATTATGTTATTAGAAGATTTTGAAGGTTTCTTTGTTTGGTATGTTGGATTGTTGAAGTTTCATTGTTCCTTGTATCTTGTGATGGGTGATTATTGCAGTTATCAGTTGGAAGGATTGGAAAAAGCACTTAAACAGAACACGATAGTGTTTTTGGAAACTGGATCTGGCAAGACTTTGATAGCCATCATGCTTTTGAGAAGCTTTGCTCATCAGCTGCGCAAACCTTCACCTTTCTTTGCTGTTTTCTTAGTTCCACAAGTTGTTTTGGTCACTCAAGTATGTACCGACTCTCTCTCTCTGTTTTCTTAGTTCCACAAGTTGTTTTGGTCACTCAAGTATGTACCGACTCTCTCTCTCTCTCTCTCTCAAGTTGTTTTGGGCACTCAAGTATGTACCGACTCTCTCTCTCTCTCTACGAGGCGGGGTGCCAGTAAGGACGTTGGGTTCTGAAGGGGGTGGATTGGGGGATCCCACATCGATTGGAGAAGGGAACGAGTGCCAGTGAGTACGTTGGGCTCTGAAGGGGGTGGATTGTGAGATCCCACATCGGTTGGGGAGGAGAACGAAACATTCTTTATAAAGGTGTGGAAACCTCTCCCTAGTAGACACGTTTTAAAAACCTTGAGAGGAAGCCCAAAAGGGAAAGCCCAAAGAGAGGACAATATCGGCTAACGGTGCACTTGGGCTGTTACATGTATTCGGTTCATTTTCAATAAATAAGTAGAGCTTCCGGAAATTTAAGGATCGAAGGGAACCATAAGCAAACATTATGATTAATGTTTCTTGGAGGTTCATTTTCCCACCATTCACAGTTTTATTCATTCTTTTTGATAATTGTAGCAAGCTGAAGCTCTGAAGATGCATACCAACTTGAGCGTTGGCTTGTATTATGGAGATATGGGTGTAGACTTTTGGGATGGTGAAGTTTGGAAGCAAGAAATAGATAAACATGAGGTACTAAGTCTTCTTATTTGGGTATTGTTTATTTTTTTCTTACTCAACGTCAAGTCTTGGCATGGTACTGCTACCCTTTTTCCTAATGTATTTTCTACATCTTAGGTGCTTGTGATGACTCCTGCAATTTTGCTAAATTGCTTGAGGCATAGCTTCATTCAGCTAAGCATGATAAAGGTCTTAATAATAGATGAATGCCATCATGCCAGAGGCAAACACCCTTATGCTTGTATTATGTCAGTAAGTTGCACATATCGTTATCATGCTGTCTAATTTTGTGGATACTTGGATAAAATAGTTATGCGTTTTTGCATTTTTTTAGGTTAATTTGTTAAAAGTCAAGTCTTTTATGCCAAGCCATTGACATTTATATAGCATGACAATCTTATAGATATGGGTGTTAGTGTGAGATCTCACATCCGTTGGGGAGGAGAACAAACTATTCTTTATAAGGGTGTGGAAATCTCTCCCTAACAGTCGCGTTTTAAAAACCTTGAGAGGAAGTTTGATAGGGAAAGCTCGAAGAGGACAAATCTGCTAGCGGTGGGATTGAGCTGTTACAAATGATATCAGAGCCAAACACCGAGCAGTGAGCCAGCGAGGACGCTGGCTCCCAAATGGGTGGATTGTGAGATTCCACACTGGTTGGAGTGGAAAACGAAGTATTCTTTACGAAGGTGTGGTAACCTCTCTCTAACATATACATTTTAAAACCTTGGGGGGAAGCCCAGAAAGGAAAGCCCAAAGAGGACAATATTTGATAGCGGTGAACTTGGGCGGTTACAGTTAGCTTAACTGATTATTAATTGTTAGCTTAACAGAACACAACATTAATTACACCAGCACCAAACATTTCGACCTAAATCAATATCCTAATAGTTCAGAGGAGAGCACACTTTCTTATTCCTTCTCTTCACAATTAATTATAACTAAAGCACCTTGTTTTTTCCTTTTGCATTTTTTTCATTATGTTTTTGGCAGATGTGAAAATGTTGATTTATATCTTGATCATCTACGCCTCCACTTTTGAAAATGCATTAATAAAAATCATAAAAATGAGTAATTAGGTATTACTAAACATAATGGTTACCTGATGTACAAACAATTTGACATCTATCAATTATCACTTTCTTAATTAACGATTCTAACAAGTCTTTAAATTTGTATCATCAAATTTTTTTTATTCATTAGTGTTAAAACTAGAAACTTAATTTGCCACAACTCATTATGTATTGGCATTACGTGCATAAACTTCCATAATTTTTTAGAATAAGATGAGGCATAAATACCCCAGACCTTAGTGGTCTCATAGAGGTGCAAGCCTCATCTATAAGACAAGTAAGCCGCTTATGATTCAAAGAAGAGGTCATGTTACAAATTAGTGTCGGATGAATCAAAGAAGGCGTAAGCATCAAGGCTAAAAATTTGAGCCTCTCAACGGGAGGGGTTTCAACGTGTCAGCCTTAAAAACTTTAGCTAGTTACTTTACACATTTTTTCCCTTAATGCATATATTTTTAATTTGAAGTATATGCACTTTTCAGGAGTTCTATCACCGGCAGCTACCTCTTGATAAATCTAATCTTCCTAGAGTATTTGGAATGACTGCTTCTCCAATAAAGTCAAAGGGTATTTCAAATTCGTTCATATTTTTTTTCACCTGTATATTATCCACTACTATTTCTGTTTTTTTTTGGGGGTTACGTCTTCCGAGGTTGTTATAATGAAATGTTGAATGAGATGCTTTTCCCTTTTCTGATTTTTTTGCGGGGTGGGGCATTGGTAGGTGGCAACTCGGAATTAATGTGTTGGCAACATATACAAGACCTTGAGTCCTTATTGAACTCGAAGGTTAGTACTAAAGTTTGCATAAGTTTACTAACTAGTTTTGCTATTTTAATATTGATTGCTCATTGGTGATTTAGTAATGTGAAAGACATGCTTCAAAACTCTTTAGAGATTAATCTTTATACCAAAACATATAATATACAATTTTCTTACGTATTATGTGCCTCAGTTCACAGAGGCTTGTATCCGTTTTTGGGGCATTAATTGTGTAGGTTCCATAGGAAGTGCCTCAGGCTTTGGCATATTAATTTCTCGTACTCAACTCTGCGACTCTGCTAGGAAAGTTTCATTTGTGTTTCAGTTTGGGGGATTTCTCTTTATACTCTTGTTATTTTAGAATGCGTTGTACCCTTTCTCAAAGAGTTCGTTTCTTCAAGTGCTTGTGAATTGTTCACTTCTTCCCCTCTTCTTTCTCAAGAATTATTTTCGTATTGAGCAGTAATTTGATCATATCTTTTTTTCATGCAGGTGTATACTTGTTCTGGTGAATCTGAGCTGGCCAAGTTTGTACCTATTTCAACTCCGAAGTTCAA